CAGGTATCAAACAAACTACACTAAGCCAGGAAAACCCACTGTAGAAAGTATGAAATTGTGCAAAATGATACTTAGACCACTTTCCATTAAAATACTGAGCCAGAAACATTTCATCATTCTGAAATAAAGGGTGAAAGTCCCTGTGAAGTATGAACTGGTGCTGTGTCAGTTTACTAAGTAGGGAACACAACGAAAGGAGTGCTGCTGTCACCAACCCTACCAAAACTTGATTCTAGCACTAGACAATGCCCTGCTTTCTCTTTGCCTGACAAGAAAAAGTGGAGGAAGAGACCCTTAAAATTCCCGGCACTATGGTGAAAGCCTTTAATCACAGAACTCAGAAGGCAGAGACAGGCAGATCTCTGAAAATTTGAGGTTAGTCTGGTCTATACAGTGAGTTCCAGGACACTCAGAACTATGTGAGAGATCCCATCCCACCCTCACCCCTACCCTGTCTCAGAAAAAAAAGAGTTGACACTGTAAAAGTTGAAACAGAATCCCAGCGTTCAGGAGGCAGAGACAAGCCTCTCTGTGAGTTGGAGGCCAGTATGGTCTACAGAATGACTTTCAGAACAGCCAGGGCAGGGGCAGTTACTCAGAGAAACCCTGTCTTAAAAACCCAAAACCAAAACTAAAACAAAACAAAACAAACACACACACACACACACACACACACACACACACAAAGCTGAAACAGATACAATTTTGAAACAATACTATTATTTTGCTTGGTAACATTTTCTTCATTCCTAATGCCTGCCAACAATAAAAACACTGTATCTCATTTTCTTCTTCATTTAGTGATTTACACATTTTTCTTATTTATGCCTTATCACAATAAATCCTTTAGTAAGCTAGCAAAAATGCTCAGTGAGTCAAAGTGCTTGCCACTTAAAAACCTAAATTTCATCCCTGGACTCACATGGTAGAAAAAAAGAACCAATTCCAGAAAACGGTTCTCTGCCCTATACATATGTGTGTTGGCATGAGGCATGCACATACATTCACAAAAACACACGATTAATAAAATGTTGTAAAATAATAAATTTTTTGTACTATGGTTTAGCAATGAAATTAAAGGTTTTTTTGTCTCACCATCACAACCAAGAACCATAATTCTATAAATTCTTAAACATATTCTAAGTCTATAAAGCAGAATATTACTTTGCAATAAAACAGAACAGACAACTGATACAAGTGAAAACTTAAGATAACCCAACAAGGAAATTCTGCTGCACTGAAGAAATGCCAATCTGTAAGTTATATACTTTCTTTATGATTCTCTTTAGTAAATAAATGCTCTTTAAAAAAATTGCTCAAATAGGAGACACACTAGTCACGGTTGCTAGACAGTGGGTGGGAGAGAGGATGGGAAGGATATAGGTGGATGTGGTTCTAAAAGGGCAACCCAAGGCTCCTTTGTGTTGACAGAGAACTGTCATATCTTGGACATAGAGAAGAACCTACACATGTAATAACACTGCATAGCACTAAACACACACAACTACAAGTTAACTTGGGAAATGTGAATAAAATTGGTAGACATTATCAATGTTACAATCAGCTATAAGATTTTATAAGATATTAATATTTGGAAAAGTAGGTAAAATATACAAAGAATATCTCAAGTTACATGTAACTTTATGGCTCTCTCAAAATAAAAATAATTTTTAGAAGAGGAGATATATACTACTCGGTGATAGCATCTGCCTAGCATATGCAACAATACCTGGCGTCAACCCCAATACATGAATATACACAGCCACACAGTTGATTCTGTTCAGCATGGTGGTTCATACCTGCTACCCAAGTACGGAAGAAATGGAGGCCTGCCTGTACTACAGATTAAGACTCAAAAGAAATACAAACAAACAATAAAAAGGTGTCACTAACAGTCGGAAAACTTGAATATTAGAAAAAAACTATTAATGGTATTACAACCATACAAGGCAACATCTTTATGTCTAAGGAGTGAAGCATTAAGTATAGTTTTCTTTTGTTTCATATGTATGCAAAGAAAAAGTAATCTTGTGATATAGTAAATATAGGTAAAAGACTTAAGCGTATTTTTGGTGCTCTCCATATTTTCCTCCTAGTCAGTATAAACAGAGGGAGAAGGAGTTGGGAGACAACCCAACCCCTGGCTCCAACCTCCAGCATAACAAAAATAAGGAAAAATAAAGGGACAAGGGGGTGGGTGGGTAAATGTTGCAAGAAAACTATGCTATAGTTCTACCTACACATCAATTAGTCTTAAAATAATTTAATGTAGCCAGGTCTGGTGACGCAGGCCTTTAATCCCAACACTCGGGAGGCAGAGGCAGGCAGATTGCTGTAAGTTCGAGGTCAGCCTGGTCTACAGAGTGAGTTCCCCAAAGCTACAGAGAAACCCTGTCTTGAAAAATAAAAATAGATGGATGGATGGGTGGGTGGGTGGGTGGGTGGGTGGGTGGATGGATGGATGGAGATAGATAGATAGATAGATAGATAGATAGATAGATAGATAGCGAGCGCGGCTCACCTAGATAGATAGATAGATAGATAGATAGATAGATAGATAGATAGATAGATAGATAGCGAGCGCGGCTCACCTGCTTCCATGTACAAGTCCTGGGCTAGATAACCAGCACAGAAATAATAACAGCAACTATTCTAGACTTCAGCTGATGAGACGGCACAGTGAGTAAAAACACTTGCTGCCAAGTCTGCTTTTGTGTGTGTGTTTTCAGACAGACAGGGAGAGAAATGTCTCAAAACACAGGGGAAAAAAAAAACTATGCTACAATCTCACTTTCAGTCTGAAAACAATATCATTAATATTTTACTTCAATACGAACTGGTTATCTATAATGGATATTTCTGCAATATCAGTTACCTCAACATAAATGGTTATTTACAATTATGCATTTTATGTATATGAGTGCTCTATTTGCATGCACAGCAGAAGAGGGCATCAGATTCCACTATATATGGTTGTGAGCCACCATGTTGTTGCTGGGAATTAAACTCAAGACCTCTGGAAGAGCGGTCCAAGTGCTCTCAACTGCTGAGTTACACAAAAAGGAGAAAAAAAAAAAACTAAATCTCCGTATTTCTTTGTCAAGCAAGTGAATTATAATTGTAAGCTAAATGGCTAACACTAACACACGCTCCAAAATTCAAGATAGTCTCTCCGTTTTTCGAGACAGGGGTTCTCTGTGCAGACCAGGCTGGCCTCGAACTCACAGAGATCCGCCTGCCTCTGCCTCCCGAGTGCTGGAATGAAAGATGTGCGCTACCACCACCGCCACTCAAGTACTAAATTTGGCAAACGCACTTCATTTCTTCCTAAGAAAATGTTTGTGCAAAAGAAGCGACCCATACACTAAACACCAAACAACAACGGCAAAAGAAAGTGCTACAATGTATTAATGACAGCTCCAAGACTTCAGGGCACAGTTTACAAAGTAAACAGGCTCAATCCAGTGCCCCTGGAAATTAACAATGCATCTATTTTTTTTATGCAAACGGCAAACATCCAAAACACAGCTAGCGTGGGCAAGAGCCGTCTCAGAAGACTCGGAGATTATCTTCTGCTAAGTTTTGCATCGGTGTTTTTAAAACTTCACAGTGTAAAATCTGTGCGAGAACTTCCAACCGGACCGCCCCCTAGATATGAGTTCCACCTCCTCCGGAGAAGGGTGGCGGGGTGGGACAGCTCTGCTCTCAAACTAAGAAAATGTTTTTATTCCCCCCACTCTCCCCAGGGGATGCAGGGCCAAGTGCACAAGCGATTATACGGAGGTAGCAGACTGCAAAGGTCCCTTCGTTTTTCCATCCCCCCCCCAACCCCCGCCACCACTCGAGTCGTACACTGACCCCGGCCGGGCGGGGACAGGTGAATCCCAGGTGGGGAGGAAGAGGGAGGGACGGGCCGCGGAGGGAGAAGCGCGTTCAAGGAATGAATGAGTCGTGCCTCAGCCACACCACCTGTTCCTCCCGACGGGTGCCACCCCGAGCAGCCAGCAGGATCCCTGGCCCGTGCGGCCCGCTGGCCCCACTCAAGGCCAGGCTGCTCCTCCCTTCGCTCGAGGAGGGGAAAAGGCGGCCGCGAGGAAGCCGGAGCGTCGGGGCCTAGCCCGGAACCGAGGCCTCCGAAGCCCGCGGTCCGCGACCGCGCGGACCGAGATGGGCGCCACCGGGGCGAGACGAGGGAGCGCGCTCCGCCGGGCAGCACGGCCGAGGCGGGGTCCCCCGCGGGGTGGCCCAGTGCCCGCCCTCCCGCCCGTCCGTCCCGGGCTTGGGAGTGACAGGCCCGGCTCCCAGCGAGACGCTCCCCGCCGCCTCGGACTCACCAAGATCCGCTTGAAGAGCGCGTTCTCCTTGGGCGGGAGGCTCACGGCCGGCATGGTTCCGGCTCCTCCCGCGGCTCCCGCCACCGCCCGGCTCGGTCAGTCCGTTTGTCCGCCCGCCGCCGCTGCCGTTCCCAAGCTCGCTTCAGCCTTGAATCCTCCGCTCCGCCGCCACTAGGCCTCGGGTGTCGCCGCGTCGCCCTGTCCTGACACCCCTTTCTCCTCCTTTTTTTTTTTTTCCTCCCCTCTTTCCCCTTTCTCACTTAGCGCTGCCGCCACCTCCCCCCTCACGGGTCTCCGTCGGCGGTTCACGTGGTAACTGAAAAGACCGACAGAGGCAGCCAAAATGGCGGACGCCGAGGGCTTTCCCACCCGGGTCACACCTCCCAGCGCGCAGGCGCGGTGACCCGCTCTCCCCACCCTCGCTGCACTGGCGCCTGCCGGGAAGGCGGAGGCCGGGTCGGCCTGCGGAACCGCTGATTCTGGCTTGGCTGTGCCGGTCTTGCCAGTGCGGAGCGTCTGGGAGGGCCGCCAACGGCGCTTCCGCCGTCGACAGCCTTTCTGCCCCTTCTCGCTAGACCGGCCTTTCTTTCACTCATTGGGGTGGACGCGCCCAGGTGCTGTAATCATAGCTTGAGCCTCGAGTGCCAAAACGCCGGTGGAGGTGTTTTAAGAAGAGATGTAGTCGGTCAAGGCCCAAGTGCCCAAATTGTGAGCGGAGGCGAAGGGTGAGATGAAAAAACCTTTCGCCTCAGTGGGGACTTGAGAACCGATCCGAAGAGGTGAGGGCTTAATCGTCTTTGAAAAGCGTCAGAGAGCGCGACCTACGAAATGGGCTTGCCTAGCTAGGGTATCTGTGATTTTGTTGACTGTAGTTAAGATAGCCAAGAAAGGTCGTTAGCCAGATCCGAAGTGGCGTGTTTGTACCGCCCGCCGAAGGAGCCTCTGAAGGTTGAAGTGTTCGTGTTTATTTCATTGCTGAAGTCAAGGCAGGGTTGAGAACGGGCTGTCACCTTGATGTAGTGGAGCTGAGGGTCGAAACCCCTCGAGTTGGCTTCTAGTTCGTGCTTAGGGTTATAACTGTTGAACTCAACTGCCTGTTGCCAGAAATCCTTAGAGGCCAAACTTCACTGAACGAGATCAGGCCTGAGAGTAAAGAGGATCCCTTCCACGTGCAGGCATTTTACTAACCGTTGACAATAAAACCTTCACAAAGTGACTTGCCATTGAGTCACAAGAGCCATTTACCCGTGATTATCTCGTGCAGACCTTGTAGTATTCTGTGCATCATGAATCATAAAGATGTGTGAGAGTTTTGCTCTTTTAGTCTTTTTTCTTTAACAGATACGTTGTAGTTTTCAAATTAGCCTTTAACTTTCCTGCTCTACAGAGTGAGTTCCAGGACAATCTGGGCTACACAGAGAAACCCCGTCTTGAAAAACCAAAAAGAGAGAGGGATCATAGCAGTCGAACCCTAGGGTCTCCTATAATACTGTAATCTTTCTAAAGATTTAGGAAAATTAGGTTGGTGAGATGGCGCGGGGAGTAAAGGCTCTTACTCTGCAAGCCTGGCATCCCAAGTTTGATCCCTGAGCCCACATAAAGATGGAAAAATAAAAATGGCTCCGCGAAGTTGTTCCCTGCCCTCCATGTTGGCACAATAAATAATAACTGAAGTTATGGGGCTGGAGAGATGGTTCCTCGAATAAGAGCCCTGTTGCTCTTGCAGAGGATCTGGGTAGGGCTCTCAGCCCCACCGAAGGCACCAGGTGAGCACACGGCGCACATTCATACATGCAGGCAAAACGCCCATACATATAAAATAAAATTCAGCGCAGACAAAGACACATATGAGCAGCTTCTCTGTGAGTGTGTGCTGTCAGAGCTCTAGCCTGGCTCTTCATGCCAGCCATACAAGCACACCTACCACTGAGCTAGCAACACCCACAGCACTAGATACTGACTTTTGTTTTTTGAAATTGTACACGTAATTTTTTTAAATTGTAATGCTTTATTAGCATGTTAATTATACACAATAATGGTTTTCATTATGTTTCATGTATGTGCATAATATATTTCAATCTTATTCACACACATACATACCCTTACCATCCCTTGTCGCCATCTACTGCTGTTGATCCCTTTCCCACTAAATAGCAACTTTGTTTGTTTGTTTTATCTTGCTAAGTAGCCCAGGCTTATCTTGAACTCACTTCCTCCCTCTTTGCTTCCCAAATGCTGAGATTACAGACATAATACCCCATCCAAGTCTCAACATTTGTATTTTTATAAAGATGTGATCTCTGTGTGTGTGTGTGTGTGTGCGCACGTGCAAGTGTGTGGCTACTGGTACCCACAGAGGTCAGAAGAGAGTGTCAGAGACCCTGGAGCTGGAGTGAGAGTAGCTGGAAGCCACCCACCTAGGTCCTCTGGAACAACAACAGGTCTCACAGCTGCTCAGCCTTCTCTTCAGGCCCGAACAACGGTTTGTAAGTTCAATTAATACTGGTGTGATTATAACAGTGATCTGATTCATTTCTGAGTTAACATGCACCTACAGCCTGGCCACACAGTCAATGACATAGCCTGGACCCAGTAATAAACTGTAGACTCCAAACACGGCTACTTGACCAGTAGAAATGAACTGGAGCTGGGCTTTGCGTGCCTCGTGTGCTTCCAGGGAGTTACACCCACGGCTCTCTGACACACAGCTGCTGAGGACCTCCAGTCCTTCCCCGTTACTATGGTTACAGGGCTTCCTCCAGCTGCGGGTAGTGCTGCAGACATGGAATCCCAATACTGGTACTGGAAGATTAAGGCAGAAGGACTTCAAGATTGTCTTGAAAGGGAGACCGGAGGCCAGTCTGTTCTTGCAACATTAGGGAAGCCTGTCACCCAGACTTAACAAAAATAAATAAATAAATAAAATAAAAAATAGTCAATTTGGGTATGTTTGCTTAATAAAAAGTTACATGTATACAAGAAACCATGCTTCTTCGGGCCCTGAATTTGATATATGGGCTTATGTATCTAGTATTTTTTTTTTCTTATTTCAACTCTTGTTCTTTACTTCCTTCCTTGGACACATCAGTCAAGATTTTTTTTATGGAAAAATCCAGGGCTAAAACTTATTTTCCAGTGGCTTAACGCAAATCGCCCTTCACCTAGGTCAGAAGTAAGGTTTTTAGCATTTAAGCATGGTTTAAATGGATGTTTAAAAAGACATCTACCAAACTAGAATTAGCTATTAGCTCGTGTTCTTCTCAAAACAAAGTTTATCTTCATCTGCCTCCTCCAACTCTGGGGGTCCAGTGAGCCCTAATATGCTGAAAATGCTATGCTCATACTTCATTGCTGCCCCCAAATATACACCAGGAAAGGACACAGGGATCAAAGTTCTGAAAAAGAACAAAACTGAATTCCCCAGCATAGATCATGAAGTGGTACTGGGCTTCCTGGTTCTGTACACTCTGACAGCCGGTGGCTCCTGTTTCAACTCGCTGAAGACTAGCAAGCTGTGTCAGGACAAGCTCTGGCAGCGTGGGGTAGAAAGAGTATACAACCGACGGTCTGCTGAGTGGACAAGATGCCAGCAAGTTGGGAGCCAACAACTGACTCAGCGCATTAGTGGGCTTGTTTGCTTACTTGAGCTTGAGTTCAGGAGGCTCAAACTAGGTTACAAACTAAAGTACTAAAGTAAAGTAACATTTTAGCCATCATTTGGGTTTTAAAATGAGCCACAAAGCACAATATAATTATTTTATCTTTTATCAATAATTTATTTCCTTTCCCCTCTATTTTAAAATACGTATATCTATTTAGTGTGAGTGTATGTATTTGTGTACACATGTGTGCTTATGAGAGTAGCCATCTGGAGGTCAGAAGGAAACTCTTAAAAATCTGTTCTCTCCTTCCATCAAATGGGACATGCCAATTGAACTCAAGTCACCAGGCTTGACAGCAAGTACCTTGACTATGCATTATCTTTCTGTGTCCACCTTTTCTTAAGAGAAAGAGAAAGGCTAGTATGGTCTTTCATACTAGCCCAGGCTGGTCCAGGACTCTCTATGAAACTCGAACTACTCTCAAAACTGAGGCACTCCTGCCTCAGCTTCCAAAGAACTGGATTAGACATGAGCCACTACACTCCGCTCATGACTACTTGTTTTAATAAAAAGATTTAAAAATAATACTGCTAAGCATACATAGAAAAATGCTAACACGGGGCTGGAGAGATGGTTCAGCGGTTAAGAGCATTGCCTGCTCTTCCAAAGGTCCTGAGTTCAATTCCCAGCAACCACATGGTGGCTTACAACCATCTGTAATGAGGTCTGGTTCCCTCTTCAGGCATTCATACAGACAGAATATTGTATACATAATAAATAAATATAAAAAATGCTAACACTTATTTTGCTATTAAAGTGGATGTAAGCAGCTTTAGGTTTTAACAAATGGCTTTTAAGGGCAAGTGTGTATCCTCTGCAGGCTAGAGAGATGGCTCAGCAGTTAAAAGAGCATATTTCCCTAATAAACATTTGAGTTTGGTTCCCAGCACCCACTCCAGTTGACTCACAAACGCCTATAAATCCAGCTCCAAATGATACAATGCTCTCTTATCTTCAAGGAGAGGTTCATTCATATACCCCCCACCATATGCACACATAATTAAAAATAAAATCTCACAAAGTAAGAAGAATATATCATCTGTGACCTGTTCTTTTTTTAAACAGGGTCTTTGGACACCAGGTAGAATTAAGAATCCACGGGCTGGAGAGATGGCTCATAGGTTAAGGGCACTGCCTGCTCTTCCAAAGGTCCTGAGTTCAATTCCCAGCNGAGTTCAATCCCCAGCAACCACATGGGGGCTCAAAAACATATGTAATGAGGTCTGGTGCCCTCTTCTGGCCAGAAGGAAAACAGAAAAACAGAACATTGTATACATAATAAATAAATAAATATTTAAAAAAAAAAAAAAAAAAAGAATCCAGTGAAACAGAATCTCTGTCAGTTGTGCAACATAAATACCAGCTGATCATGACCTGGAAAGATGGCTCAGCAATTAAGAGTGCTGCAAGAGTTGCAGAAGACCTGGCTTTGTTTCCTAGCACCCAGAGCACACTGGACAACTCAGAGCTGCCTATAACTATGGTTGGGGGGGGGGGGGTTCCAGGGACCTCTTCTGGCCTCCTAGGGCATTTGTAGGCAACATCCTGCTCTTGACAAACAGGCCCAAACACAGACTTAAAGATGTTTAAACCAGCTGATCAGCCAGCGCAATCCAAAGCCTCTGACCTTCACTGTGACCTTCCAAGCACCAACACACACATACCACAAAGTGAATCTACACTTATAAAAGTAGCCAGGTGGTGGTGGTGCACACCTTTAATCCTTGCACTCGGGGAGGCAGAGGCAGGCGGATATCTGTGAGTTCGAGGCCAGTCTGGTCTACAAGAGCTAGTTCCAGGACAGCTAGGGCTATTACACACAGAAACCCTATCTCAAAACAACAGCAAAACAACAACAAAACAAATAAAAAAAAAAAACACTCCAGCTGATTATTACAAATGTCTTGAATAGGCAAACAGTTTTTACTACTCCCAGATAACTCCTAAGCTTCCCAACAACCCTACAGAATAGGTTTTATGTTACAGATGTAAAACTGTGGTACGGTCATAGTGTTGGCACATGGACGACACAAATGCTACTGGAGACATGACAGTTTGGATCCTGTTCTACATAGACACATGGCCTTACAGCCAGTCCCACCTTGTCAGATAGGCTAGCGGGACCACTCTACCCAGAATCCAAGGACCACACATGGAATCCTTTTGCCATCTGGATGCCCCTCCTGAACCAGTTAGAGCACTTTCATGTAACATCTACAAGAATTTTGTCAGGACCTGGTGGCAAAGGTCTTATAATCCCAGCTCCTCAAAAAGCCGAGGCAGGAGGATCAAGTTCATGGCCATCTGGGCAACTTAGTGAGAGCCTATCTCAAAAAGTGAAAAGGCTATGTGGGGATATGTAGCTCAGTGGTTAGGCACTTGACTGTGATGTAGGAAGCCCTGTATTCCCTCCCTGCCGAATAACAGATTTTTATGTCACAGGATTGAGAGGCATCAAAGTTGTCTTGATAAATCGATCTCAGAAACCGTTGAGGCCTTTACAAATAAAAAGTTCCCTTAGCCGACAAGTTTGTCTTTGAGTCCGTCTGTTAATTGATGATAATAATCACTGCATATCCTGTAGCCAATGTAGTGATAAAATAATGACTGTAAACCACACAATGAATTAACTTACTATACCTGAAACACAAAATTCAGCCCAAATTTTATTCTTCAACAAAACACTTCCATTTTCAGTTTTGAGGCTCACCAATGAAAAGTCCGACGAGCGCTCTGACCAATTGTTTTCCCCGCCCCAGCCCCCTTTTCACCGGTTGTTTTCGGACAGTCCGAGTTTTAGGAAACTTTGTCCTCAAGCTAGGACGCTAGTCCACCTGCGAGTCCCGCTTCTGCTGCCAGGGGGCGCTGCGTTCCGCGCCACCGCAGGCAATGCGCGCGCAGTGAGAAGGCGGTGCCCGCCCGACACGTCGCGCATGCCCAGGAGGGACGGACTCTGTAGGGCAAGATGGCGCCGTCTGCCGTACTGCGGCCGTTTTCGCGGCTGCTGGCCCCGGCCAGGTTCCCGAGTTGCTGTGAGTGTCTCCAGGCCCATTCGGCTCCCGGCCTACTCCCACCCGGCACTGACCAGGGTGTGGAACCTCCGGAGGAGGTCGCGGCTCAGGCCGACCTGCAGTGACCTTCACCGGCCGCGGTCCGCGTGGGCCCTACTCCAAACTACCTGCCCTCTTGAGAGTGGATTTTGCCTCTTTTTGCCCCCGGCTCTACAAACATGCCCAGGAGACAACAAACAGGGAGGTCCTCCCGGGGCTGCCTCTCATCCTCCCACTCCCGAGCCGGAGACACTTTAACGTGCTTTTGAAGGCCTCCTGAGCCCCAAGGACGGCCGTGTGGCTCTGCAAGTGGCCCGGACAAGTTACTTTTGTTTTCTGGACTATGCCCAGATTGAGGTTGGGCAGATAGAGTATAAATGACAATGTAAAGCCAGAGATGGTGGGGCTCTCTTGGAATCCCAGCCCTGGGGAGGTGGAGACAGGTGATCAGGAATTGAAGACCATCCTGGGCTACAAGAACTCCTATCTCAGAAGAGAGAATTTCATGCACTAATACGCGCGCACACTAGTAAATGTTAGGTTTTCCTCGCTACAAGTCAGTAAGATACACATTCTCTTTCTCTTTTCAGATTCAACGCGGTCAAAGTTCTACGTTCGGGAGCCAGTCCATGGCAAACCTGACTGGCTGAAAGTTGGGCTGACCTTGGGCACCTCGGTTTTCCTGTGGGGTTATGTGAGTACCCTACCCATCGGGATTCCTGGAACTGGAGTTACAAACGTCTGTGGACTGGCAGTTGTTGGTCCTGGGAACCAAACTTGGGTCTTTTGCGAGCAGTCCATGGCTCCTAACTGCGAAACCATCTCCACAGCCCCAATTTTATATTTCATTCTCAAAATTTTTTGCTGGTGGAAGGCTTAACTACTGCCAAGAGTATTAAGGGTTGAAATTAGGTCTTTGATTCCCATGAATGCCATCATGTATCAGTCATTGTTCCAGCTACATAATCTATCAGACGGTGGTTCTAAGAAAGTAGCTGTTCCCGGACTTCTGATTAACACACAGAGAGGTGAGGGATGGCTTGATCACTCACTCACGGTGGCAGGCTGCTAAGACTAGAATAGAGCATGCACCGTAGGATAAAATGGACCTATCTATGTGAACACACACAGGCAAGCTCACCTGCCCATAGATTTACACACACACACACATATACAGACAAGCTCACCTGTCCATAGATTTACACACACACACACATATACA